ATTTTAAATATTAAAAAAAATAGATCATAATTAAATTTATGCTATTTTTAAGCTAAAATTGTTACACGAACTCTACAACTTAAGGGATAAGCTAATTTAGGAATTAAAAAAAGTAAGATCTTTTTAATAGAACGATAAGCCCCATTTAATGTTAAAGAATTAATTTGAACCAAATGAACAAGAATAATATCATCCATAATTCCTGTTATCTCTTGCCGATTTTCATCAACTTTATATTCACGTTCCATTTCTGGTATGATTGCTGCGAGCCGACGATATCCATCGCGAGAAATTAATGATTCATCACAAGTACAATAATTGAATCTAAAAGTTTTGGTGGCTTTAATTTTTCTGAATTTGAATTTTGTAATTTGACCGGTAATCCATTGATATTTAACTCTATATGCTCTAATTTTGTATTATAAAAATTGTGTAAATTAGTTAAAGACTCAACCTTACTATTAATATCATAAGCTAGTGCTTTAAGTCGTATATTTTTTTGTGCTTCAGAGTTAAGTTGATGAAAAGGTTTATTTTTTCGAATTTGATCTTGATTATTAATTTGTCTATTTTCTAGGCATTCAAGATCGAATCCAAACAATACAACTCCAGAAAACGTTGTTTTATTATTATGGATAAATTCTATTTATAACAATATATTAATAAATATAATATACACGGTATTTTAAACTAATTAATTTATTAAATTAATATGAACTTGTAAAAATAAAGTTGCCACATTACTTGCAGATTTATCACTTGTTACAGACTTTTTTTTTTCCTTACTACCCCAAGTTATCGTATATACTACCTTGTCACTAATATCATACCAAGTTTCAGCAATAAGATCTGTACCACAAATTTTAACACCAACTATATAACCATTAGGAATTAAATGATAACTTCGTTGAGTTTGTTTAATATTTTGAGGATAATGTCCAAGACGAAAAATTTTATAAAGATATTTTTTTTTCTATTTCCTTTAAATTGAGTTACATAAATGTTCAGATAATCATCAATAACCTCTAAAAACTTGGCTTTTGTATTATTTTGCTGTTTAATTTCTTGAAGTGGGTGACAGACAGGAGAACCTGAAGAACTTGAATCCAGAGAATTTAAAGAACCTTGAGTTGGTAAATAACATACTGAACGGGTAACTTGTTGGAGTTTTTTTAAACTAGGCGGCATTTAATAAATATTTGGGTATTCGAGTGTTAGTTATTTAGAAGAAAAAAAAAAATAACAGTAAAAAAAAACATACAGTAAATATAATAAAACAAAGAAGTTGGTTTAACTTCTACCAAACACAACTCATTTCCAACTCGTCAACTCATTTCTAACGTATAACTCATCCCCAACTCATTCCCAACTCATCTTCTAGCTTTTGTATTGGTTAGAAATGGCGATGAATCGTATGAAAATCTTAATTACGTTTTCGAAAACATCACCAAAGTTGGACCCGATAAATCTGATTGGCAAAATGAGTTGTACAAAATTCGGAAGATCTTTAGAAGATCTTAACATGTAATTCATAAACACCACGCAAATCACAAAAATCAGCCCATATGAAAAAGAAGTGCAAAAAATCACATGATTTTTTTGCAAATCTAAATAGAAAACATAGTACGAACTATAAAACTTACCAAAAATAACAAGCCACTATTATCCAAAACTACACCTTTTCAATTCAACTTGTTAGCCTATAAATCGTTCATCAATTAGCACTGCCACATTTTTTTTGCACTTAACTAAGTATAATCTTCATTTCAAGCATTTGATCATCTATCACTAATTTCCATCTATGTATTACTGCATATAACTTACGCTCAAAATATTTACTAAGCCTTCGCTCAAATTAAAATTAAACCTTGCTTAAAATATTTTTTTATAACCTTCGCTCAATTTATTTACTTAAGGTATTTTTTATATAACTTACTAAACTTTTACTCAAAATATTTAAGCCTTCGCTCAAATTACTAATTAAACCTGGCTCAAATTATTTTTTTATAACTTTTGCTCAAATTACTTACTGAACCTTCACTTAAGATATTTTTTATATAACTTACTAAACTTTCGCTCAAAATATTTAAGCCTTCACTCAAATTACTAATTAAACCTTGCTCAAATTATTTTTTTATAACTTTTACTCAAATTACTTACTGGACCTTCACTTAAGTTATTTTTTATATAACTTACTAAACCTTCACTCAAAATATTTACCAAGTCTTCGCTCAAATTACTAATTGAATCTTGCTCAAATTATTTTTTATAACCTTCGCTCAAATAACTTACTGAACCTTCACTTAATTGATGATCCGCAAGTCACCAAAACAAAATGATCTGCAATCACTAAGTAAATGTGATGCAATTTGATTAATAAAAATACTAATACGCGAATATGCAAATTTTTATATTAAAATACACAATTTATAATTTTAAAC